TTCAAATTAAGTATAATCAAAGCAAAGAAATTATGAGATCATTAGAATAGGTATTAAATTTCCTAGGTGATAAAAAGATGATTATTTGTTCAAATTGAGGTCTTTAACTTCCTATTATCCTTATTAGGCAAAGTACATAAAGAAGATTATTTTTTTATCCCAGTTAGGCAATAAAATTAAAAAGCAGAAGACTATAAGTTACTAACCTTCTCTAGAATTGAGAATGCATTTCTTTAGATATTATATAATGATATTATAATTACCAAGAATTCACATTATTCTATGATACCTTCTTATAATTGTAAGGTAAAAAGATTGTTAGAAAATTCAACTTTTTGAATAATAGAAGATACTTATTAATAAAAATTTTTTAATTAGGTGTGACTACTGAAAAATATCCAAAGTTACATAATATAACTGAAAGGTTATATAAGAACCTGAGTCTATTATAAGCTATTAAAGTCTATATAGATGAATACAAAATCAATATTGAATGAAAGGAAGCGATGAGCAAGACATTGGATTTGAGTAGATGATAAGTACCTTAGAAAATCATAAGAAAATAATCAAAATTATGAATAAATAAGTTTTTCAGATAGTTAAAAAGAAAAAGAATATTCCAGAAAAGTTGATTCCTAATAAGAGAAGATTTTTAATAGAAATTCTTTGAAGGATAAGGCACACTTTTATTTTTCTTTTATTTTTTTCTCTTTATATATATATACTTATATATTCTTAAATATTTTTTTTCTTTATTTTTCCTTTTTCTTATTGTAATTTCTTGAAGGATAATAAATAATAATAATTTACTGACAATGATAGATAAGTTAGAAGAATATTTACTTAAAACTTATTCAGAAGTGAAATATTGTTTCTAAGATCACACTTAAAGGCATAAGCTTATTTGAGAATTGAAAGTTTTTGATAAGTAAGTCAGTATAAGATTTAGTTTAGCTATAATATCATTGCCTAATGTATCTCTATCAGTTTTTTTAAAGATTAATAAACATACTATACTGAACTAACCATAGGTTTTATAAAAAAAAAAACAAGTCAGTTTAACTTTTTTAAAAAAAATTTTTTATTAATAAAAATAATAATACTTTTTTTATTAAATTATAAAAGATCAATTATTTATATAAAAAAATATAATTAAAAAAAATGTTATAAATAATTTTTAAAATATTTTTTAAAATTGATTTAAAAAAAATAGTAGAGCTTTATTATTACTAAAATATAAAATATTTTATAAATGGTTTTTTATATATTATTAAAAAATTAGTAAAAAAAATAGATAATTAATATATTTATACAATTTTATATTTAAAAAATTTATAAAATATCAAATTGTTTTTAAATTTAAACTTAAAGATTTAAACTTAAATAAGTTTACTAATAAAAAGTTTTAATCTAATTTAGATATATATTAATATTTAAATATATTTTGTATTAAGTAATTAATTGATACAATAAATATTTACTATTAATTTGATTCAATAAATTATAATAAAAAATATTTTAATTAATTTTAATTTTAATTTTTTTTATTATAGTAATTAAAAATTAACAATTAATTTTTTAAAATAATTATTTATAATAAATAATAAAGATTAAATTTAATTATTTTAAAAAAATTAATCTTATTTTAAAATTATTTTTAAAAATATAATATTTATTATATTATTAATAATTAAACTATTTTATAAATTTTTATAAAAGTTGCTATACTTATTATTATTAATTTGAATTTTTTAAAAAAGTAAAATTATATATTGATTTTAATTATTTGTAATTTTATTTATTAATTATAATTGTTTACTATTATTTAATATCTTTTATTAATATGTAGCATTTGATTAATAAAAATATATTCTTTTAATTATTAGTATTTTTAATATAGTTTTACAAAAAAAAAATAAATATAATTATAGTTAAGAATGGATCTTTAAAGTATTTAATATATAAAATTTTACAAATCACTTATATGTATTTTTTTTGAGTAACAAAATTTATAGCTTTTTGTTTTAGTATAAACAAAATTCGAAATATTATAAATCAAAGGTTTTGATAATAGAAAACTATTTTAAATAGTTTTTTTATAGTAATTTATTTAAAATTTTAATATTTAATAGTAAGAAATATTTAACTTTTGTCTTTACTTTCTTCTTTAAAGACCTATAGTATATATATATATATATATATATATATAATATATTATTATTTTTTTTAAAAAAATTCTTTTTGTTAATCTTTTAAACACATATAAAAAGATATTTACAAGAAATTTTTTCATTTCCTTGCTAAGAAGGTTTTAATACTTTTTTTAAAACAATTTAAAATATAATTTTAAGAGTTGTTTTTATTTTTATTTTATTATTTACAAATATTTTTATTTAAAACCTTGATTTTTAATAATCAATAAAAGTCAAATAATATTTTTGATATCAATAACAAAAAAATTTTCAATAAAAAAAAACTGATTATAAAGTATTTGAAAACCTTTTCAATTTTTAAAATAAAAAATTATAAAAATTTTATTATAATAAAAAGACTTATTTTTTTTGATTTTAACTTTTTGATTTTTTTAAAGTTTTATTTTTACAATTTTTTAAAGAATTTTACTTTTTTCAATTTAATCTTGAATTTTGAATAATACAGATTCTCATAAAAAATAATTAACTAACATAAAACATATTAATTTTTAAAATATAAACAAGCTTTTATCAATTATACTTATATATTCTGATGATGTCATTAATAATTGAAAAGAATGTTTCAAAAATATTTTAAAAAAACATCTATGATATTAAAAGATCAAAAGATAAATAATGTGGATTGCAAATCTTTGTTTTTTTTTTAAGTTTTTCAAATAATGATAAAGTTTTAATAGATAAAGGTTAAGATCTAAATGTTTTTCTTAAGATATTCCAATTAAATACTTACTTAAATAAAGAATCAATTGAATGAATTTATTTAATATTACAGGTAATAACAAAAAAAAAAGTTTTTTTTTATAGTTCAAGTGAAACAAGAAGATTATTTTAATCTAATAAAATTTTTTTAAAAGAAAAATTACTTTCTTTCTAAACTTTTTTGATGAGATCTTGAATTATCTCCTTTTTTATTCATTTTATCTTTGCCTCTTAACTTAACAATTTATGGTTTTCAGGCAACCTATAGTAACAAATTGTTAACATGAATCTAATAGCTAGAGGTTTATATCAATTTTTTAAAAGAATGAAATATTGTTTCTTAGACCTAATTTAGAGTATTTCGATGCAATGAGTTAATTGTTATATGAAAAATCTGTAATATCATAGATAATTACGTAAACTTCTCAATAAAGATTAAGCCATGTGGCATAGTTACGGATTAAAAAAAAAAAAAAAGTAAACGAAATATATACAGTATATCCTGATAGTTTAATGATATAAATTAGAATTAAAATATATAAACACCTATAGTGGTTTTCGATCCGGCTGTTTTCTTTTATGTGAACTTTGTATTGATTATCCATATATTATATTATATTTTTTTTTTTAAAAAAAAAAAATTTTTTTCGGTTGCGAAAAATTTTTTCACTGGTACTATGCTGGTCATTTTACAATAAATTATAACCATTGTCACGTGATATAGTTTAATAATCGCACGTGATAAAACAATTTTGGTGTTGGAAGCAAAAGAAATTATTCTAATTCAATTATCAGCATTAATTTCTGAAAGTATAATTACTTAACCATGAGAGATCAAAATTCTTTACAAACCCAATATTATATATAAAAATTCCTAATTTGAAGTTATCGGTCAAATATCCTATTAGAGATAATATCCTTGTACAATTCTAAATTTGAATAAGGTCCTGAATTTTGGATTTGCGTGTAAAAATACCAATTCAGTGGATACAATGGTCTTCCCTCGATTTTAATGGAGAAATATACCGCCAAAACAATGCGGCATCGATCTTTTAATTCTTTGTAAAGGATTAATTGTGATTCACATTTGAATAATGATATTTTAATATTCGGACTACTTTGTAGCAACGATACGAAAGCCCTATCACCCCAAGATATCCTTCTCTACCATCTCTACCATAACCTGCAATTCATATGGTAATTTATTAATTTCCATTTTTTGAAATTTGAACGCGAGATCAATTTTTTAGATTAGCAATTTAATATTACTATATGGTTAAATATAATAAGGTTAATTATTCCTACTAGGGAATACCATACGGATGTACTGTACAATTTCATGGGACGGCATCACAACAAACAATCCAATTTGATCATTCCTGTTATGCATCCTGTTTCCCCAGAACCAGTATAAATCATGTGATGACGATAGGGACGAGTTTTAGTGTGCAACAAATATACGAGTTTATGGCGTGGAATTACATAATAACTGACCGAATCAGCCCTTCAATTATCTAAGCTACAAAAAAAAAAAAAAGAAAGGAGAGGAAAAACGAGAAAAGAAGAATTTAAAAATACAAACTTACACATGAGCGATTGATAATTTCGATTGAATGGCAAAATTGAAAATTATTTTATTTTATTGGTCCGAAAACTTTTTGTAAATGCTTGACAGTAAGCTAATTGTAAATATTTGGGTTGACGTTCCAGGATTAGAGTAAACAGAATTCGATTTAGAAGACTTTATTGTGCAATTGTTGGTGCAAAGTCATTAATCATGTATAACCCTGCAGAAAATGCTCAGCGTGGTCTGATGAAGTGACGTTGGCGATCTTTCCAAATAAAGAAAGTCCTTAATCAAAATGGTTTCCGAATTTGTCATAATTATTTGATTATCATCGGGTCTGCATATGGTAGTTTGAATTTTTGCATAAATACTCACCCATTAAACAGACCAGCTCCAGATTTTCAACGATAAATAAAGTTAAGATAAAAAAAGTTATGGAAAATACTAAATTGACAACAAAATCCACTTCACGAGCTTGCGTCTTCATCGATTCGAGCAATCCTAATTCACCAAATCAAGTCATGAATATGTTTACAAAACCCTTCATCAAGCTTGCTTTTCCACCAGTAATTAACATCAGAGATTTAATGACAAAACACCCTGATAGTCGGGCCTCCGCTCGTGGTCCAAATGCTTTTATCATCTACCGGAAAATTTTTGTCGAGACAGCGAGAGCAGATGGATATCAACTTCCGATGACCGTCGTCTCTTCAATGGCTTCTCAATCATGGGAGCAAGAAAGCGAATTTGTTAAAGCCGAATACAAAAGGCTTGCCAAAGAAGCAAACGATATTCGTAATGAATCTTCACCTAAATCACCGCGTCGTCCAAAGAGAGAACGATGGAACATTGTTTCTTTTCAGAAACCTTCCCCAGTCAAAACAAAATCTACTCTTAGAAGGCCTTCTTCAGAGAGCGTAGAACTCTCAAAAGAATCTTTAGTGGTCGAACATATAACACCTCAAAAAGTGACATCTTCTACACAAACAACTTGTGAAAACAATGCCAGCACAGAATTCAAAACCAATAATACCGATCATGAAATACCTACTATAGATCAACTTTATGATTTGTTTGTTGAAAACGATGGCGATTCGGTCGGTTGTGAATTACCATCCCCAAATTTTTCTATTTCTGATACATCAAGCTCCTCCCCCATAAGCGAACAAGTTGAGCTCAATTCCGTAGATGAGTCTTTAAATAACCTGGTGATACCTCATGATGCGCAAAAATTAGAAGAATTGCAGTTCCACATGCATTCAAACGATAGCTTAACAAGAATGGGAGAATACGACTCAACAAGTGTTTATTTGAACATTGACCTGTCATATGAATCAACGTGGAGAAAGATGTTTAATGATTCATCAATAACTGGAGAAGACATCACATCGGACGACTCGTTCTTCAGTACGTTGGCAGGCACGAGAGAATTTGAATACCAAGGTTACATGTCGCCGCTCTCATCTCCGGAGACCGGAAATTCGAACTGTTCTGATTCAGAAGAATCAACAATCTCTACCGACTTAAGAAGCATGACACAATTTTCAAATGTTCTAGGAATTTCATATCCTTCTCCTGAAACAAACTATAATAATTCTTTTTATTTTTAGCAAACTTTGTTACTTTATGCATTATAATATTAATATGCAAAAAAAAAAAAAAAAAAAGAGAGATTAGACAACTTATGGCACGTTGTAATTTACTTTTATTTTCTATATATGTTATTTAATAGTCACATTTACATTATGTTCTGTGTAAAATTAGATGATCGAGGTTTTGTATATAATAAACGAACGCATCCTAATGTTGCAAAAGCCTCATCTTTCGCGAAACATGAACATTCATGAGTTGGGAAACTGCTGATTGGCGCGGATAACGAACGTGTAATTTGAAATTATTGCTGTTATGTAGCTTAAACAACGATAGATAATATTCTTTGGCTTAAGGAGACGAATAAGAATGTTAATTCTTATCACCGATGTTCTGAAAACAGAAGGGAAAAACCTTCACGAGGTTACACACCATTGAGAACAATGTGATATTATATACCTTATGTCGTACTTATTGGAAAAAAATTTTTTTTTTTACTAAAATCCACGAATACCAATATGATTTTTCGGGTTGTGTTGCCCGAAATTTGGTTGTACTTATTCCCATACGTCGCGGACGCCGTTTTTAAACTTCATGTTACCAAAAAATTGTGAAAAGGCATATTAAAATGGAATTGTTACAACATTAGTAATATGCATGCATTACTGATCTGTTGATCCATGAACATATATGCATAGTAAATAGATCATCTGGGGAAAGTAGATCAAGACCCGGCCCTAAAGATGAGACCTATTTATAACACCCCCCACTGGTATTTTTAAACGTTGCCTGCATCGATAACTGTATCAACTACAAATACGGTCCAATTATTTGTGGTTGACTACTAGCACATATTGACGAGCAAATATCCCCCCCTCAGAAGGCAACAAAAATGCTAGGATAATTTTTGCTCTGATCACATGACCAATTATCATCTTAAAATTTCGTGTAGTAAGAATTCACGGAAATAATAATGAGACACGCACAAAAGCATGATCATATGAGTTTAAATTGGATCGGAATGTGGATATTTGTTTTATGTAAACACGAAATTTTAGTCACAATACTTTCTGTGGAGCCTTCAAAGAAAATAAAAGAAGAGGAAGAAAGAAGAAGAAAAAGAAAAAAAAGAGTATTCTCACAATTAATTTAATGTTTCTTTTCAAAGATTATTTCTCCAAAAGTTTCTATACTGTCTTATTACCGATCTGGAAACATTTTAGGAGCGAGATTTCAAGGATAGAATAGTAATAATTGACTTGACTCAGCTAACTTTTTAGCTGGCCTATAATCAAATGCAAATAAATAAGCATCGTTTATTGGAACTTAAGGTTACAGTCGAAGTATTAAGTGTAATAATTATATTGCCGACATTCATCAAACTTATACTAATATATTTGAGTTTTTTTTTTTTTTTTTTTTTTTTTAGAATGAATATAAATTTAATATTCATTAATTTTCACAAAGTTCCTGATTTAATAATAGCTCCCAATAATTTCAATTATGAATTTAAAAATCTATTATAAATAGCAACGATATATCATATTTTGCAACAAATTTAGTTCTGTAAGATTTTTTTGGAATATGAGGAATCGCTTTTGAAATATCAGGTTTACAACATGACCTTGTATTAAACTCAGGTGGAGTTTAGGTAATAAAATTAGGTCGAGAGTTTTTCTTCAAGTAATGACAAAGAACATGCGTTATCATTTAATATCCGTGTTACTTTCCATGAAGATTATTTATTATACAAATCGAGAATATCCGACGAATGAAATTCTAGTATCATTTTCCGCATATATTTGTTTGAAATCAACAGTATAGTAACGCAATTAAGTTACATTATATTCCACATTACACTTCCATTGTTTCCCCTACATAATTTACACTGCGACGTGGTACCATAAGGTTGATATGATTATTTTGGTTAATATTGTTGCGGAAGCGGTCAAGCAATAGGAATGTTGTATATGGGTAATTTTTCGAAGGCGGACAGAGATTTATAATTGTACTCCGAGAATTTATACAGTATGTGATATTAAAAATAGGACCAAAAAATCGTTTATAACATTTTTTGTCGTTTTTAAAATTAATTATCCATATAATTTTTTGGTCCCTATTTTTCAAATATACCCGAACAATATAAATTTTAGAATCGCAATTCTATAATCAGAAGATTTTCTGCTCCATGATAATATGTATTACCGAAGATATAAACGATATGTCGAATAATTATAAAATACAATATATTGGCATTATTAAATAATGATATTTGTGTGTAATAGTTATGCATTATTCACCGATTTAAATGATATAGAACGAAAAAAGGCTCAAAAGGGTTTAATTGTTTGCAATCCGATAATTAAATAAAGTAAGATGAAATTAATGAAACAATACAATAAAAACGTAAGAAATAAATTTCTTTGAAATATTTTAATAATTATTTAATAATTATTGTCAAAAAATTTTATAATAAACCTTTCTCAAAATTGGTTAAGTATCTATCGTTGAATAAA